ACTGACCATCAGTCAGTGTCAGAAGCTGCGTACCTTGGCCCAGTGCCCTCCCCATTCCTCATTGCTCAGGAGCTTTTCACTCCCCAGTCCCTTCTCTTCAGTTGCTGGCTCTAGGCCAGCTGGTAGCAAACACAGCTCACGGCAAACACAAAACTCAGTTTACATCAGCAGTTCTTGCTTTGCAGACACTACGTTATTTTATCCTTCTTACCTTCAGAGGAAAGGTTTCTGTATGTGGGAATGTGTACTTTAGGATTAACCTTTTTGGAATTTGGTTATTCAACACAGCTGAGAATGCTCTCACCCATCCCTTGCCAGCTGTGTCCTGCAGTGTGACAGCTCTGCTGTGTAACAGACAGGTGCTGGCCCAGCTCACCCCTTTGTAGCCCCTCTCTTACTGCTGGCTGTGGTCACCATTGCCCTCTCAGGCTGGAGCCCCTTTCCCGTTGCAGCACACCCTTCCCTGTCTCTGAGCTCTCAGTGTCTCTTTGCCTTGGTCCTCTGCTGATTCCTCCTGTGGAAGGTGAAAATGCTTCCCAGTGCTGTGCATTAGCACAGCTGTTGGCTGTCTGGGCTGTCATATTGGTGCTCCCCAGACCACACAGGCCAAGCTGCTCCTCTCACTCCTACAGCCCCCACCAGCTTCCTCCTGCTTCTGCCCCAGCTGACAACTAAACCCCCTAGTGGTCTGTCCCACTGCTCCCCAGTGACCCCTGGCTGTAACTGGGATCTGGTGCTGGCATCGCCCTACCACCGACGCTCGGCTTTTCCCTATTCCTTCAGCATCTCAAGCTCTGCCAGCCTGGATGGTGCTGGGAACTGTGTCATCCCATGGCTGGCGCTGCCTGTGCCCCCCATCCCACGGTTGGCAGCACACAGGGAGACACAGTTTGCCCACGTAGGGAGGATTCACACACCTTAGGGTGTGTCTCTAGATCCTGCCCTCATTTGTGCCCACCATGGGAAACATTTGTGCTGTCAGCTGGTGCCTCCCCGGGATGAGCCCAGACTTGTCCCTGGTGGGATCCCTCCTGTGCTTCGAGGCTCGGGGCCAAACTGATTGGCGCTGCTGGTTGCTGGCTCAGCATGGCCCAACGAGCTCTGCAGTCGATCCCCTGCTCACTGCACTGACTCATAAAAATATTGATCAATCTGAAGTTGTGTCATCGCTGCACAGCGCACACCAACTGTGCGATGACACAGACTCTTGTCTCACGTGTTGTGCCATGCCTGCTGCAGCTCGCCAAGCTGCAGGGCATGGGGGCACCCTCCTTCCCTGCCCAACCTGAGCCCTGTGCCTCCGCTGCACCCCCCTGGCATTGGGTGGTCATGGGAGGCTGGGTCTGTGTCACTGGCAGCAGGAAGGGCTTGGTGGGGAGTGTGGGCAGGAGGCACGAGGGCTGGAGGCAGTGGCATATGGGGGTGTCTGTCTGTCTGTCTCTCTGTGTGTCCCTGCAGGCATGGGCAGCTCGGCCACGGGACGCTGGAGTCGGAGCCGCAGCCACGGCTGGTGGAGGCGCTGGCCGGGGTGCCCATGTGGGCAGTGGCAGCCGGAGGGTGGCATTCGGCCAGCGTTAGTGGTGAGGGGCTGGGCCTGGCGTGGGAGGTCAGGGCGCTGGTGGCAGCATACGGCCCTGGTGGGACCTGGCCCAGGGGTGGGAATGGGGTGTTGGTGCCCCCACAGCACCCAGCGCTGCTGCTAAGGGCTGAACTCTGCCCTGATGCATTTCCCCTCCACCCTGCAGAGGCAGGAGACCTGTACATGTGGGGCTGGAACGAGTCAGGGCAGCTGGCTCTGCCCTCCAAAGCACTGGTAGAGGAGCGGGCTCAGGATGATGTGTGCACAGGTGGGTGCTGCTGGCTGGGCTACGGGCAGGGGGTGCAGGGTCTCTGCACGGCTGAATGCAGGGCCGGTGCAGTTCAAGCCTGCAGGAAATGCTGGTGGTGCCCAGTCGCTCCTGGGACCTGAGAGTCAGCTCTTCAACAGGAAATGCCAAGCTGGTGCCCCGCCAGGAGCAGTCGGCTGCCAAAGACACCCCATTCATCTCCATCCAGGCATTCCCAGCGCTGCTGGATCTGCCACAGGACCTGGAGGTCAGTGGGGTCAGCTGTGGGTCCCGACACACAGCTGTTGTCACACGTGAGTGCCTGGTGGGGCTGGGGGCAGCACCCCTCAGGGTGGGGGGGTGGGCTGTGGGGGTTGGGGCTCACTGGGACCTGGTGGGCAGCACCCCTGGGGGTGAGGGGGGTGCTGAGGGGGGCAGGGGCTCACCAGGCACTGGCTGATGGTGCTGTCCTGCTTACAGGAGGTGGAGAGCTCTACACCTGGGGCTGGGGTAAGTGACACCTCAGCTTTGGGACCTTACATCCCCCACAGGAGCAGCTTCTGGTTCCTGCTCCTTCACCGTTGGCTCTTTTATCACTGTGAGGGGCCCGTTTGTGCCAGGGGGCTCTCACGTTCCCTCTCCCCCACAAACATCCAGGAGCCATCACCCTGTGAGGCCCCAGGGCCACATTGTGTCATGACTGTGTCTGCAGGTAAATACGGACAGCTGGGACATGGGGACATCGCCAGCTCTGACCAGGCACGTCGGGTCGAGCACCTGGTGGCTGAGGGGCTGCGGGCAGAGGAGGTGGTGTGCGGGCCCTGGACCACCTACGTCCGTGTGTTGGAGCCGTGAGGCCCTGGAGCCCCCCAGCCGTGGCTGCTGCCAGGAGGAGGATGAGGGCGAGCTTTGCTCTACACGACCAGCCCCAAGACCAGTCAGGACATGGATTGAGGCTGCAGGCCCTAGGCGTGGCTCCTGCTTGGCTCAGACTCCCAGAGCCGCACCTGAGATTTTGGGGTGCTGAGTTTGCCCCCCCTATCCCTTCCTTCCCCCCATTTCTTCTCCTCCTCCTGCTCACCACAGGCACCACCCCAACAGACTCGGAGTTGTGGACTGTACAGGGACTTTATTCACAACATCTGGAAAAATTTTTTAAATAAAAGCAAATTTCTCAAGGAGGGAGCTGGAGGTGGGTTATCCTGGAGTGGGTGATGCTGCGGTGCCGCTGGAGCAGCAGCTCCTGCCGGGTGCAGGGGCCTCAGCACGAGGCGTTGGTGGTGGTGGAGTTGAGGATGCGGGAGGTGCTTTCAGAGCTGGAAGCCTTTGAAAGTTCGCGCTGTGGGAACAAGAAGGGGGAGAGGCGGATGAAGGGAGGGAGGGAGGGGCAGCAAGGTCAGGGCCACTGCTTTGAAGGTCAGTAGGGACGCAGGGAGAGGTCGGGATGGGCAGGTAGGGCAGCCCAACCTGCTAAGGGGAGATAGAATACTAATAACAGAACTATGTAACCAATGAACGTTAATGCCTTTGTTTGCTAAAATGTATAAATAGTAAAAAGTTTTGATAGTTGGGTGCTTGATTTGTGGGAATCCCCACCTTGCACCCTGCTCAGAATAAACAATGTCTCCTTTCTAAACCTCTTTGTCCATGTTTAGAGACCTCCTAAAATCTGCAGCATCAGTAGGAGAAGGGGACAGGAACAGTTGTGTTCAGCTGCTGGAGGAAGGGAACTCCTGGCAGGACTCTGCTTCCATCACAAATCAGCCCCAGCCCTACCCAAGGCTGGGTGCCAGCCTGGGAGCACAGCCTGGAGCAGGGAACCCTTCAGCTCAGTCCCAGGGCACACAGGGTACCCCAACACCAGGTCAGTTGCCACAGGGAAGAGACTGGGGCAGTCCACTGTCACACAAAGGTAAAGCTCAGGCTCAGCCCATCCTGACAAAAGGACAGAGCCTGCCCAGGGCCCCCCAGCCCTAGAGAGCAAAGCCCCATCCACTGGCAGCACCCCCAGGCTCTGCTCACCCCACCACCCCCAGAGACTAGTGGAGAAGGTGGGACTGAAGCAGGGTCCCCCTTACGGGCTCAACAAGCAGAGCTGGGCCTTGGGCTCTGTCCCCACACAGGGGTGTCGTTGAGCCCAGCCTGGCCCCTGTGCTGGTGTCGGTCCCCACTGGCTGCTCAGGGGCCGTGTGAGGCAGGAGCAGTGTGAGACCTCCACCACCAAACCACAGTTTGAAGTTCTCCATGTGGAGCCACAGGCACGGGCAGGAGCAGCCACCCTGCGTGGGGACATGGGGAGGACACAGCCCTGGGGGTGCTCGGGGAAGGGGGAGTGTCTGTCCTGTGCCGCCTGGGGAGGGGGTGGGGTTAGAAGAGGTGAATTACCACAAACTCAGAATAGGTGCTGGCAACAGAACTAACGCTGTGGTTACGCTGGGCAGGGGCTGTGGGGGTGCACCCACCGCTCAGGGTGGTTCCATCCAGCTGGGACATGTTCTCCTTGTTCCACTGCCTCAGCCTGGGTCGGGGGGGCTTCGCTGCCGTGCGGCTGGGGGTCCGGGCACGGCCAAACTGCAGGAGGAGGCAACAGTTATGGGATGCAGGAATCGAGCAGAGGCAGGAGAGCTGTGGCAGCTTCAGTGCCTGTCCCTCTGTGAGGCCAGAGTGGTGTCAGGCTCTGGGTGACAGCAGGCAGAGCTGTGCCGCCCTGTTTTGCCCATCCCAGCCCTGGGCAGGGAGTCCCCCAAGGTCCCTCACCTTCTTCCCAGAGGGCGGCAGCCGAGACGTGGGCGAGTGGGAGATGGTTCCCCCAAAGGCTGAGCGAACTGTGCTGTTGGGAGTAGTGCTGGTGATGGAGGTGCCGTGGAACTGAGGAGAAAGCAGAGCACGCATGACACGAGGGACACCTCCCTGCAGAGCCAGAGCACCCCAACCCCTCCCGTGGGGCCGAGGCCAGCCCAAGGCCAGGCTCCAGCTCAGGGAGAGCTCAGCTCCGGGCAGGGCCCCGGCCCAGCTGCACTGCTCCACAGGGACATTTTACCTTCCTTACTTTGGCAGGTGTGTGCGGGCTGAGGACACGCCGCTTGATGGGGGTCCGTGGGGTGCTGCCATACAGCATCTCCGTTTCTATCTGCCGGCTCTTCTTCAGGTGCTGCGGGAGACACGTGCACTTACACACCTGAACACCGTGGAGTTGGTGCACCTCTGCTCCACTGCCAGTGGGCACTGCCCTGCCAACAGCTTGGCAAGGCCATGCAGCAGGAATTTCACCAAAGATTTACAGGTATCCAGAGCCAAGTGGCACCTCTGGCACAGCTGGGGCCAAGAAAGGGGCTCAGCACACACAGACACAACTGCAATGGGCACCTGTCCCACTACCTGCTGCTTCCAGGCTAGGATTGAGCAGGCAGAGCCCAGGGCAGCAGCTGGGGGGCACTGGGGCCCACCACAGACACTCCCAGGCTGGCATTCCCAGGAAGGAGCCAGCATGCTCAGCTCCACACTCACCCGCTCCTGCTTCTCCTTCTCCTTCTCTAGGCGGTACAGCTGCCACTGCTCTGACACGTATTCCATGAACTGCTGCCCCTTAACCAGGAAAGGCTCCTTGAACTCCTGCTCCCAGGCTTCGACCTTTCTCTCCAGCTCCTCCTGCAGCTGATCAGGACATGAGGTCAGTGTAGGGACTGACCAAACGTGGGTGTCCCCATGCTCAGGGATCCCTTCTCCCTGATCAGTGGGACCACAGGTCCTTCCCCAGGGCTAGACCTACCCTGGACAGCGTCTTCTGCAGCTTTGCTCGCTGCTTCTCCTCCTTTAGCAGGTTCCCCCCGCGGTTGGTGAAGCGGCTGGGGTCAGTTGTTTTTCTCTAGCAGAGAAGGGGGATCAGAAGAGACTTAAAGACACCACCCAGCTCCCCCCACCCTCCAGGGAGCCAGCCTTGCATAAACACCCCAGTGCTCAAGACAGCACCTCATCCCTGCACTGGCCCACTGTGCCTCCCCAGTGCCTCCCTGCTCCTTCCCAGAGCACTCAGCCCCCGGGAGCAGAGGTGTGTGCTGCCCCACGACCCAGCGTGCTCCTGCCCAGACAATACCTCCAGCTCCAGGAACAGCTTCCAGTTCTCCTCCCATTTCTGAACCGCCTCAAACAGATCTTTGTGTGTTTCATAGTAGCTCTTTATCTTGCCCACCTCGTGATCATGCAGCTCGAGCAGGGTCTCTGTGTAATCCTCTGGAAGGGCACAATAGCCTGGTCAGAGGGGAGCTGGGACCCCTGGACTCCTCCCCACAGCTGCCTGGCCAGCTGACACCCACCATCATAGAAGGGGCCGAAGCCTTCCCTCTGCTCCTGGCTGTAGAAACATTTGTCCCAGTAGTCAGCCAGCTCTGCCCGGATTGCCTGGATCACGGATTTCATGTTCTGCAGCTTCAGCTCCTCCAGGTGGTCCACTTCCAACTGCAACTGCTCCCAAGATCAGAGCACAGGTCAGGGAGAAAGAGGAGGGGCAGAACAGGATTCATCTTCTGCACAAGCCACTTTCTAGGATGAGGCAGCTGCCAGCATCAACCCCCAGCTCCTCCCCCAGGAGCATGAGAGCCCCAGGAGCTACTACCCCCAGCCCTCCTGCCTTGGGCGTAGCAGGGTCCTTACAGCTCTCCTGGTTTTGGCTCTGGACCCATCCACGTGCACGGCTGAGGTCTCTCTCTCCTCCTGTGGGATCTGCAGCCTTTCCCAGAGCGCAACAATCCTGGAGCGCAGCTCTGCACACACGGCCTCGTTCAGAGCCCGCCGGGCTTCCAGCTGCAGGCAGGGGGAGCAGGGGGTCAGTGCAGCCCTTGGCTCTGCTACACCCGCAAAGCCATGCACTCGGCACCCAAGATCTCCTCAAACCCCCCAAAAGGATGTTCTGACATACAGCCTTGCCCAAAAGCCAGCCGTCACTCTTGCATTGTGATGGCAGCTGCTGTCAGGACCCACAGCAGCCCCAAATGCTGCCTCAGTGCACGGCGTACCTGCTGCAGCAGGTTCTGGAGGGCCACGATGTTGTCCTTGGACAGGCAGAACTCCTCCTCGTTCTCACACACCACGTCCCGCTCAAAACTGGTGTCCGGGGTGTGGTCCAGCTCCTCCATGAGCAGGATGATCTGACGCTTGTTGCTGACAAACTCTTCCCGCCTTTGCTCCTGGGGGTGAGGGGCAGTGTCAGGAACCAGTGGGCCCCTCATGGGTCCTTCACCAACCCCCTCAGTCTCTCTGCTCACCTTCAGGGTGTTGAGGGAGGCCACGTGGCGCCGGTAGCAGTCCAGGTCCTCCAGGCTGGGCACGGCACTGCTGTCAATGCTGAACAGGGCTGTGCACAGGATATCACACAGGTCCCGGTCCTGTTCCTGCAGGGCCTTCAGCTCCTGCTTCCGGTCCTGCTTCTGCCTCTGCAGCTCCTCCACACGCATGCGCAGATTCTTCTCCATCTGCAGGATGGTACTTTCCTCCTCTGTCTGCAAGAGGCCAGAAATCAGCTCTGCTCTACACCTCTCCCACACCTAGCTCATGTTTTAGGATTTTAAATGAAGTCCAGGGACACAAGCCCTGAGTCTGGGCAAGATGTTCCCCGGGAAGTTGCAAACAGAGCAGCAATACACAAAATGAGGTGATGGAGGACACCTCACAACTGCTTCTCAACAGCTGGCCTGTAAGGAGCCACAAAGCCCTTGGCTCTACCAAGCACCCAGTTTTGAACAGGCGTTTGCTTTGTGAGCTCTGGCCTCTTGATACACCTAGGCAGGGCAGCAGCAGGATCCCAGCAGTGAAAAGCAACACCTCACCTCAAAGGGGCCCAGCTGGAGCTCACTGCACAAGGTGTCCAGCTCCTTCCGGCACAAGGCGATGCTCTTCAGGAGACGTTCCTTCAGGCTCTGCTCCTCTGCCACCATCATGTCCAGGAGACTCTGTGGCACAGGCATGGTTCAAGGCAGGGTGTGAGGATGGAGAGCAGGCAGGGAACATGCAGGGAGAGCAGACAGAGAGAGCATCAGGACCACCACTGGAGACCCTGCTGGGGCTGAGTGAGAGTGGGCAGTGTGGGGGCCCCAGTGGAACAGGGCCAGGGCAGAGGTGCAGTGACAGCCCTGGATGCTCCCACCCGGGCAGGGACCCCCATCAGTCCAGTCCTGGGGCCCTGAGAGAGCTCATGCCAAGCTGCCCGGGTCCCGGGCTGGGGGCTCGACAGCGAGTCCGGTGAGCCCCCAACCCGGGGACACGCCCCCGCTCCTCACCTTGATGTGCTGCTTGACGACGTCGGTGCGCTCCAGGCGCTGCTCCTCGGGAATGCCGATCTCCTCCCAGATGTCCCGCAGGGCCGCCATGGCCCGGCTCAGGCAGGACGCGGCCTCGGCCGCCAGGACCTCGCTGGGGGCACCGCGGGCGTCACGGCCAAGGGCGGGCTCCGGGCCGAGCGCTCCCGCAGCCACCGGCTCCCATCGCGCCGCGCCCCCCCAGCCACGGTTCCCGGTATCCCCGTTCTCTCTCTCCCCCACGTTCTTGGTATCCCCCCCGCTCCCGGTATCCCCGTTGCTGTCCCCGCGTTGCCGGTATCCCCCCGTTCCCTGTCTCCCTTATTCCCGGTATCCCCCCGTTCCCTGTCCCCCCGTTCTCGGTATCCCCCCGGTCCTTGTCCCTCGTTCCACCCCCCCGTTCCAGGTATCCCCTCGTTCCCTGTTCCCCCGTTCCCGGTATCCCCCCGTCCCGCACCTTTTCCTCATCGCTCCCGCCGGACGCCGCCGCTCCGCCGATTCGAACTCCCCTCCCGGCCGCGCTGATTGGCTGTCGTGTCACCGCAGCCCCGCCCACAACCGCCACCCGGGCCGCGCCCTGCCCCGCCCCAAGCCGCCCGTCAGCCAATGGCAGCGAAGAACCTTCGGCGCTTCCATCGAATCACGGGCGAGGCCGCCGCCCTCCGGCCGCGTGCAACGGCGCCGCCGCGCGCTCGCGATGCCGCAGCGGCCACGAGCCCGCGCGCGGGAGCCCGCGCGCCACACCCGGGCGGTGCCTGGGCCGCACTGAGCATGCGCCGGGAGGCCACCGGGACGGGACCCCCACGCACAGAGCCCGGGCCCGTCCCCGCACACACCCGGGCCGGTCGCCGTCAACAGAGCCGTTTATTGGCAGAGGGTGCAGGGGCCGCAGGGCCCCCCCAGGGCTCAGGCCCTGGCCTCGATCATGGCCTCCATCATCCGGGCGCTGTTGGTGATGGCCGTGGTCAGGAAGATGAACTTGCACCCTACGAGATGTGACCTGTCAGTGCACCGGCGATGCCCAGGGGCAGCCCCAGCGCTCCCAGCTCTGTCCCTGGCCATTTCCTGGAAGAGCCTCGTACCTCACCGCCCCCTTCCCCATGGACTTCAGCCAGCGCTAGCCCTGAGTGTGGCCCCTGCTCGGCCACACGCTGCGATGGTGGGACCCCCAGGTTGCTGCCTGCTCCCTGCCCCTCACAGGCAGCTCCTACCTCTCTCTTTCCCCAGGAAGCGGAGGGCAGCAATTTCGGAGAACGTGCAGCCCCCCAGGAAGACAGTGAGGATGACACGCTGGGACTCCCAGGCGGGGTTGTCCTCCACGGTGCTGTCTGGATGGCACAGAGCATGGTGGGACCCCCGCCAGCCCCCAGCCCCCCCGCCCCCAGCCCAGCCCAGCCGCTACCTGAGACCGAGAACTCGTTGCCATTGAGCAGCCGCACCACCTCCTCCAGGCCCTGCCAGCCCCGGCGCTCCAGCACCTGAGGGATGGGTGGGTCAGGCTGGCCACAGAGGCTGGGCATGGCTCAGGAGGCTCCGAGCAGCAGATGAGCATTATCAGCCTCAGCCCTGGGCAGAGGGACCCCCAGTGGACCCCCCGAGGGAGGTAGGGGCTCAAGGGGATGTGCCCAGTTCTCCCCCGCAGCAGGTGAGCTCACCTGCTCGATGATCTTGCAGCTCAGGGGCACGTAGGCCCCGCCGAAAACATACGCCATGTCCCGGGGCATTTTGAGGTCATACTCGCCCTCCACCCGGGGGATCTGCAGGGATAGGCAACACCAGGGGTATGGGACCAGCCTGGTTGGGCCTCACCCCCCTTCAGAGGCACAGGGGGTGAGGAGGGACAGACACTCTGCCCCCACCTCCTGCCCCGCTGCCCCAGGACCAGCATTGCATAGCCTGGGCGGGCGGTGCATCGGGGGGCCATGGACAGAAATATCACTGCACCAGCACCCCAGCACCTCTCCATTGGCACACGACAGAGGCCACAGGGCTGATCCCAGGACAGCTCTGTTTGAAGGGAGCAAGGCAAGCCCCAGCCCTCCACCACACTGGTCAAGGGCAGAGTGGGGAGCTGGCACTGCCCCCTGGTCCCAGGGAGAAGCCCACAGGCTGCCCAGAGTAGCAGCTCCAGCTCCAGCCCTGAGCAGTGTGTCTTGGAGATGTCAAGCCTGCAGCCTGGGCATGGGCTCTGCTCTGTGGCCAGCAAGCAGCCCCCAAGGACATACCAACCCCAGCTTCTTGCTTATGGCTCGGAAATTGCTCTTCCTGGCCAAAGAATTGAATGCATCTGTGATCTTTCCTGGAAAACATGGCATGGAGAAATGTTTCAGAGACCCTGCCTGGGTCCCAGCCCCAGGCTGGCAGCAGGATGTGCAGAGCTGTGGGCTCTGGAGGATGGCCATGGTGGCTGCCAGCCCCACTGCCCCTGTGGATAGCCCACTGCTGAGGACACACTCAGTGCCTGGAGCCTCCGCATTTGCCATGTGCTTCCAGCCAGCTCTAAGGCAGCAGCTTCTGTTGCCAGGCTCCCAAGGACATGAGGGCAGCAGGCTGGCTCACCTGCAGCACGGTCTGTGACCAGCTTGCTGACTTTGCTCTCCACCGCTGTCAGGGTCTCCCCAGCCGCCTGCTCCGTCAGCAGCCCGATGCGCTTCAAGTTGTGGAAGGTCAGCAAGTGCTCGGGCCCATAGCTCTGGGAACAGAGCAGCCAGATCAGCATGGAGCCCTGGCTGCGAGCATGGGAAGGGTGTCCCTTCTGTAAGGGGGCACAGGCTGCTCAGAGCCCCCTGGCAGGCACAGGCAGAGCTCCTGGCTCAGGCAGAGCCTGTGGAGGCAGGGGCTATCCTTCAGAGACAAGGCTCACAGAGACAGGGCCCATCCCTGGGGAGCACTGCTGCCCTGTGTCTTGTGGCCAGAGCCATAGGGACGGGAACCCCTGTCCCACACAGCCCTTGCTCTGTTGTGACTCTCTGAGCCCCTCACCTGCAGGTACTGGGTTTTCAGGGAGCGATAGTCTTTGGGGATGAGACCTGTGG